GGGGGGGGGGGGGATTGAAGATCTTGCATAGTCATACCTATGACATTTTCTCCCCATGTACGTCTTTCTTGCTATAAGCGACTTCCCTCTTAGATATCAAGCTTCATTTGTTGAGATAGGTAGGCGAATTCAAGATTGAGAGTCAATAAGTTCACAATGAGTGTGATCTTATTATACGTATACACCTATTTTAATTACTTTTCCATATATATATAGAGAGAGAGTTCGATTCGAATCAACTTGCCCTAAATTCGCCTCTGGTACCAACATAAGCCTTGATGCAGTCAGCAACTTCATGTAATACCAATAATCACGAGGGAGAAATCAACTGAATCCCACCTTCGCATTTCCAATCTTGTCTGTTTCGACAAATGTATTGAGCCTTAAGCCAAATCCATCTCACTGTCTCAGAATTCCAATGCTATCTGTTCCTGCAGACTCAAACCACTTAAGCCTCTACTCATTTTGCTTTCTTCTGCATTAAAGAGTTCTTCATAATACCTCTTCCAATGGGAAGGTTTCCTACATCTCCTGATTAAATCCAGGCTTTTACTGTTGCCTTTTAGAAGCAGCAAAATCTGTATTAATCCAGAGTTCAGATTTTAGTTCATAAAGCGCTACATAAGATAAATGCAAGTGACAGAATTGAAATAGGTGATGCAGCGAGAAAATGTATAAAAACAAAGATTTAAAGTAATATGTTCTTAGGGTCTACTTGAAAAACTGAAATTGATCAAATGTCTTTCAGCACTTGCCTGATTTATTCGAGGTCGTCTTATTGAAGACTGTTGCACACACAAAGAAGCAGCTAAAACCATGAGGTTAATCTGTAGTAAGTTATAGTCATCAGCAAGTGAAGGATCGACGAGCTCTCTAATTCTGTTCTTCTTCAGCAAAGGTTTAGCCTAGAATAAGCAAACAGGAGTGTTCAGCATGTATAGTTGACATACAAATGGTAGTCGTAGATAAGATATGCAGGGGCAAAAAATAGTAATGGCGGAGCATACCCAAATGACGAGGCTTTGTTGTGAATAATCAAGGGCTCTACGTCCAGTGATAAGTTCCAATAATAGCACTCCGAAAGCAAAAACATCAGTTTTTTCATCTACTATGCCATGCATCAAGAACTCCGGAGCAAGATACCTGCAACCACAAGGTTTGATCAGAAAACTATAATAAGACAAACTCATACGAGAATTAGAAGCCTAATATTGCAAGTAGGAAGGTAAAGGGAAGGCCAAAGCATACGTACCCAAATGTTCCTTCAAATTTTGATATAGTGAGGTGAGTCCATCGCTCTGGTAGCCATTTTGCAAGCCCAAAATCACATATCTGAATATAAAGCAGAAAGTACTAGAAGTCTTGTTGGTACCAAGAAAGTTGTAAGTAAGAAATATAGGATTCTGTTTCCAGTGAGTACACTTTAAGTAAAGCACTTGACAATTATGAGAAAAATGTTAATAATTAATACTCTATAAGTCTAAAATACCTGAGGTTCAAGGTCCTTCGTGAGCAATATATTTGCTGCTTTAATATCTCTGTGGATAATCCTTCTTTGACCACCTTCATGAAGATATAGTAGCCCTTCAGCTATTCCTATGGCTACTTTATACCTGATTTTCCATTCTAGTTTCTGCTTTGATGCTGCGAAATATTGTAGAATTAGAGTAAAGAAACACAGAAGAATAAAAGAATTAGACACAATACATGAGATTTGTTAAAATGTTAGGGGAAGTTGGACAAATTAAACACTAACCATGCAACATATTGGCCAAGCTTCCATAAGGAGACAACTCAAGAACAAGAAAGAGTCCACCATCAACAGCATAACCAATCAATTTAGCAGTGTTTGGATGGTTGATATGTGCCATAATCCCAAGCTCAGATAAGAAATCCCCTATTCTCTCATCTTGTTGTCCCCTCATTAGCCGCTTAACTGCGATATATTGGCCATTTCTCAAGCGCCCTTTATGAACTTCAGCATAACCACCCTTTCCTATCAAATTTTCTACAGCAAAAAATTGCCAAAGATTTTAACCATCAGAAACTAAAAAGTTGAAGATTTTTTCAATTAACAATAGTTACACAAAAGCAACAAAAAATATGCCCCAATCCCATGCAAGTTAGAGTCGGCTATATCAATCCACACTATCCATGTCATCCCAATTATGCCGGCTTAGTCTAGCATTCTAAAAATTAGTTTCTCTAGCACTAGTTACTTTCTACTAGCATATATATCTGTAGCAAGCCTGAAAACTCTTAGCAAATATCAGACCTAAAGCAACCGTACTAACATGGTCGACTGAAACTTAATACTAATAGTTAACGTCAGTTGCAATCGACTATATGAATCCTAGTATCGCTGATTCAAGGCTGCCTCATCCGATATTACAACAATTACTTTCTCTAGTACTAAAAGTTCTCTACATTATAAACTAGCATATAAATCTCAAACAAGCCTAAAAGCTCCTAGCGAACATGGACCTAAAGTAACCGTACTAACATGCTTAAAACTCAACAATTATTATTTCAAGCAAATGACCAACCTTGGTGAAAATTGTTGGTTGCAGTTTGGAGCTCAGAGAGGGTAAAAAGTTTCCACTGAGGTTTGAAATAGCTCAAACCATTATCAAGAATGGGATTTGGCATGACACTGCTGCTACTTGTCTCTCTCATGCTTCTGCTGAATCTTTTGGACAGTTTGAGAGAACTAATTAGAGGATCTTTGGCGAAGTGTCCTTTTGATTTACTTCTGAATAGCTCGAGAAAACCGGTCCATCGAGAAGCAGATGTTTGAATTTTCGGGCCATCAAATTCTGAAGTGCTGGCTTTTGAAGAGTCTGATCCAGATTCTGCAGTTCTCAAAAAGTCCTCAAGTACTGTATCAGGAGAATATGTATTCACCTTTCCTTTCTCCATTTCTAGAGCTCCAACGTCGTCTACTATAAAGTAGTTGCAAACACTTGTTAGATTAATGGGCTAAAACACACAATATAATGACTGTTCAAATCAGGCATAGTTACAAGAGTTGTTTAAAGTAGAAAGGCAGAGCCAAATCAAGAACAAAAGACAGCTTTTAAAACGACTAATCACTATAATTGGCAAAGAAACTAAGACATATGACAATAAAAATAAAAAGGTTCAAACTTTAGAACAGGAAAGGGCCAAAATATCTGAGGTAAAAAACAGAAATGCTGAAAATGGCCGGAACAAGGAAGTGGAAATCAACAGGTAAAACAGAGCATCTCCCAGAAACTATTATTCTTTCCTTTTCATTCATTTTATACAGGGGTGATTGACTGAGTACAGAATTTGCAAAAGAAAGAAAGACTTCTTACATACCAAAAATATCTTTAGAACTCAGTGGTCTTAAACATGTTCATTAATGGCTACGACGACATGTCATTAGGAACAAAATAGAAAGTTAAAACACTCATTCTTATTGAAACATACAAAACGAAAAATATACTAAAATGGAAGGGAGAAAGTACTATCAAGAAAGATGAAAAATTGAAGAAAAACCTGAGCAGCCACATATAAGTATTTCTGCAAACAGAAAAACTAGAAATACCCAGAAACCGGACTGACATGCATATATATATATATATATATATGATGACATACCAGAAAGAAGAACAGAGAGTTAATTCTCCAGAAGCAAGCACAAAGCTCCAGAAGTACAGAAAGTTAACGGTGGAAGAGATAATACGGAGATTGTAGCTAAATATTTCTGGGTTTTAGGATCATCACAAGACACAAGGAATATGTAGGAAATAAAGAATTCGTTTTTTTCTTCTTTTTATTAGCAGGGGTTTTTTTGAAATAAAGGAGAATTCAAGTTTGGCGTCCTAATTTCAATTTTATGGCTTCTTTATGATCTCTTTTTGTTGTTATCCCTGAATGAGTACTTTTTATTATTATTACTCTTTTGAAACACGCAATAGGCAGATGTTGCTCTATTTTCTTCACATACAAGCTGCCTAACTTACCCCACACCTCACCAACCTAGAAACCTCAAAATAAGGAAATAAAATATAAAAAGAGAAGCTTCAAAATAAGGATAGGAAACGGAAAATAGAATTAATTATTTTTAAGAACTGCATGGTAGAATCATTGCTTTAATATTTAGGAAGAATGACGAAATATTTGAGCAGCCGCATTCACATGATTCTCATGCTTTGTTGGAAGTTTCTATATGGATTAACAACTTCAAAAATTGAGTTCTCCTCCATTTGAATTTGATTAGCTTGAATATTTAGTTTTTAAACATTTAATTTGCTGTTCTTTCATTTCAAGGTAGTTGACCCACTAAATTTGAACTCTTTTTTTATAATAACAAATTTTGACTTTAAATCATATGCATTAACTTTGTACATCATCAAGTTAATTAAATTAACCTGTGACAATAGCTAACACGACTGATGATATGATAAGCTGAAATATATAATGGCAATCAATTTTATCCAACTAAATTGCATTAAATATATAACGAACTTTTATAGTATTGGTATAATTGTAATCAATATGGTTCCTCGTGACTCCTACAACTATATATGAGTTGATCCTTGAGAGCTCGTTAAGTTACTAAATATAATCCTTGAAAATGATTAATGCGCAAAATTACCGTAGAATTTTGTATGCCCCGATTTTACTATTTGATAGAGACGAGGGAATTGCATCGAAGGTCAGCCTCGTAGTGGATCAGACTAGAGCACGAAGACAAGGTATCGAGTTCGAGAATCGAGGTGCATGTCGAGATCGAGGTCAGCAACAGTCGAGACCAAATATGGCAGACTTCGAGCAAAGCGTAATAACGGAAAAGGGAGATATCCGTGACCGGTCGAAGATCATGGCAGAAATTCCGAAACAGATCAAATCAAGGGCGATTGTTTAGGCTAATATGAGATTTACTTCCGTAATTAGAATTGTACCATAGATAGGATTCATATACTATATAAAGAGGGTTCTAATCATTTTATAAACATATTACACTATGAGATATCAAAGCAATATAACGCCTTTTCTTTAGTTCGTATACTTGTTCATCAGCTTGTTATATTTTAACTGTTCTTGCACAAATCAGTTCGAGGGTATTCAAGCTCGAGGCTGAATTTCGTTCAAATACTGATTTGCTTTATCCTATTGTTGATTTCTCTTATTAATCTTTACATTTATCAATTGGTATTACGTAAAATCACGTGTCCTTATAACCATATTATAAGTTTAATTGTTATCCAATTTTAAGGGTAAACAGTTTGGCACCCACCGTGGGCTAAGGATAATAGTGATTGGCTGGTATTAATTCCCATAACACACACTGCTTTACGCTTGTTCTCGTAACTATCTTTAATTTCAGGAATCAATATGTCAAACTCTCAAATAACACCCACTCACACAAATAACGGCCTCGGTCTTCATGGCGAGAATGAAAATATATTCGCCCCAAGAAACGGAGTACCTTTAGTCAACCCCGATGGACCACCGACCGTAGACCCAGTCGATGCCAGCTATAATATTGCCATTAATGGGAATTTGGGCGTCGACCTTGAAAATAGCATCCATAGAGATGCCTTAGCAGTCGATCAGAACACAGAGCGATGAAGAAGGCAGAATTAGCCTTCGAATGATATTCAAAATGTTGCAAACTCAACAAGCTGCGATAGCGCAACTCCAAAATCAGAATCGAGCACCAAGCAGAATTGAGCTCGAAACATCGCAAGAGGTCCTTCGTAGAGTCGAACTTGCACCAGAGAAATCGAACGCCAATGAATCGGGGACTGACCCCGCCATTGTGAAGATGCTCGAGGAGCTCACTAAACGGATCGAATTAGGTGAAAAGAAAATCAAGGCTAATGACAAAAAGGTAGAAACATACAACTCACGGGTTGACCAAATACCGAGGCACCCCTGATTCTAAAGGGTTTGGATTGGAAGAAGTTTGTGTAGAAACCTTTCCCTCCAAGTGCAGCTCCGAAGCTCATCCCGAAGAAATTTTGTATGCCAGAAATTCCCAAATACAATGGGACCACCGACCCTAATGAGCATGTTACTTCTTATACATGCGCAATAAAGGGGAATGACTTAGAAGACGATGAGATCGAATCCGTTCTATTGAAAAAGTTTGAAGAGAATTTATCGAAAGGGGTGATAATATGGTACCACAATTTGCCACCCAATTCCATCGATTCCTTCGCTATGCTTGCAGATTCATTCGTGAAGGCACACGCCGAAGCAATAAAGGTTGCGACTAGGAAGTCAGACCTCTTCAAAATGAGACAAAAGGATAATGAAATGTTAAGGGAATTCGTATCTCGGTTCCAGATGGAACGCATGGACCTATCCCCGATCACAGATGATTGGTCCATTCAAGCCTTCTCTCAAGGTTTGAACAAGTGAAGTTCGATAGCATCACGACAACTAAAGCAGAATTTAATTGAATATCCAGCTGTAACCTGGGCCGATGTACATAATCGATATCAGTCGAAGATTAGGGTCAAAGATGATTAATTGGGAACCCCTTATGATCCCGTTTACTCAAATAGGCCCGTCTACAGAATTCAAAAGGACATCGTTCTGTTCGAATAGAGATTGTTACGAACCATACAATACAGATCGTAAAAACAACAGCTCAGGATGTAATCTCGTTCGAAATTAATGAAGGAATGATCGAGGACAGAGCTCCCGAGGGCTCATGAGTAAGAGTGTCTTCGATAAACATGTCGAGCCTACAGAAGTGCCACGACTGTTAGAATACAACTTCAGCATCGATGCATCAGGTATTGTGTCGGCATTGGATGGATCAAGGATACTAGATGGCCTAGATCCCTACAGACTGATCCAGCTCAAAGGGTTCCTAATCAAATATGCAAGTACCATGGTACCCATGTACATAATATTGAAGACTGCAGATAGCTGAGGGACGCGGTAGCTCATTTATTCAACGAGGATCACCTTCGAGAATTCTTAAGTGACCGGTTCAAGAACCACTTCAAAAACAGGGATTCGAACAGGCAAAACGAGCAGGAAGAGCTAAAATATATGATTCATATGATCATTGGAAGGGTTGATATTCCTCAAGGACCGGTATTCAAAAGCACCAAAGTGATGTTCACAAGGGAAAAACGAACCTAAGACTACTTACCGGAAGAAACCTTGTCTTTCAACAATGAGAATGCAAAAGGGATCGAACAACCTTACAACGATGCACTGGTAATATCTATCCTTATGAATAAAATTCAAGTTAAACGTGTGTTGATTGATCCAGGTAACTTGGCAAATATTATTCGATCGAGAGTTGTAGAACAACTCGGTCTCCAAGATCAAGTCGTGCATGCAGCTCGAGTACTTAACGGCTTAAACATGGCAAGTTAAACCACCAAAGGGGAAATCATTTTGCTAGTGAATGTGGCCGAGACTATCTAGGAAACAAAGTTTCACATGATCGAAGGTGATATGAGGTACAACGCACTGCTCGGAAGGCCTTGGATTCATAACATGAGAGCAGTGCCCTTGACGCTTCACCAAGTCTTGAAATTCCCAACATCAGAAGGAATCAAAACGATGCACGGTGAACAACTCGCCTCCAAAGAAATGTTTGAAATCGTTGAGGTAGTACTAGTATTGGTGCTTTCATCAACAAAGGAATTATAGTCGAAGGGAAAACGAGAAGTCCAATAGCAACCACAATCACCGGCCTCGGCCCGATCGGAGGAGCATGAGACTTTCAAGGATGATGATTATATGATACCTCGAACCTTCATAATCTGCGATAATTCTGATGTAGTGAATTCAATAGTTGAAGTGCTGGAACAAATTGTGTTGATCGAGCATCTACCCAATCAAAAGGTATACTTGGGCACGGGGTTAACTCCCGAGCTCAGGAAAAAATTCGTTCAATTTCTTTTAAATAACATGGATTGTTTTTCTTGGTCCCACTTAGATATGATAGGCATCCCACCGGAAATCACTACGCATCGACCCGAAGTTTCGCCCGATAAAACAAAAGAGAAGACCTCAGTCCGAGGTAAAACATGCATTCATCAAAGATGAGGTAACAAAACTTCTCAATATAGGATCCATTCGGGAGGTAAAATATCCCGAATGATTAGCAAACGTAATTGTATTCCCTAAAAAGGGAAACAAACTTAGAATGTGTGTAGACTATAAGGATTTAAACAAGGCATGCCCTAAAGATTCTTTTCCTTTGCCGAATATCGATCGCATGATCGATGCTACGGCCGACCACGAGATCCTTAGTTTTCTCGATGCCTCCTCCGGGTACAATCAAATACAAATGAGCCCAGATGATTAGGAAAAGACTTTGTTTATCACTAAATACGATACCTATTGCTATAATGTAATGCCATTCGGACTAAAAATTGATGGTGTTACTTACCAATGCCTAGTAAATCGAATGTTCGAAGAATAAATAGGTAATCAATGGAGGTTTATATTGATGATATGCTACTTAAGTCTCTGCGAGTAGAGGACCATTTGAAACATTTGCATGAGACCTTTGACATACTGAGAAAGTACAATATGAAGCTTAACCCGGAGAAATGTGCATTCGGGGTCGGCTCGGGCAAGTTCCTCGTGTTTATGGTATCGAATCGGGGAATCAAAATCAACCCCGATAAAATCAAGGCAATTGAAGACATCATAGTTGTTGATAATGTCAAGGCTGTACAAAGGTTAACAGGATGCATAGCCGCCCTGGGTCGATTTATTTCGAGGTCCTCAAATAGGAGTCACCGGTTCTTCTCACTGCTTAAGAAAAAGAGCAATTTCGCATGGACCCCGGAATGTCAACAGGCTTTGGAGGAACTCAAATGCTACCTATCGAGCCTGCCATTGCTTCACACCCCAAAGGTGGATGAGTA